TCCGTTCTGAAGGTCATTTCCTCCCCACCCATATGTTTCCCATGGAATCGCCAATGAATGGATTAGTTGCTTGCGGTTGCAGGCCAAGCCTCACCGCTGAACCTAGCATCCTACTATAACATGATGGATGTACACATGGATCCTTTAGGAAACTACTACTAATACAAATGAAACAGATCTGTTCTGTTTCAATAAAGATAAATCAACTGCTCCACATCACTCATATTCATCTTGTAGCTTTGACACTAACATATATCTTGATTGTGTATCTTAACTATTCTTGATTGTGCCGTGCATATGCAACTTTGCTGCTTGCTCTTGTCTTAGATTGGGCCTGTTCGCTTGAACTACTTTTCAGCCAAGTCAGCCTATTTCAGCTTATTCTCCCTCATGGAACACTATTGAATCAGCCGAAACCGGCCGGCTTAACGACCAGCCGAACAAGCCTATTAAGCCATACCTGAGCAGTCCACTATGCCATCTGTGCACCTATTTTACAGTATTGCACTTTGAAATCCTGCATCTATACCCAAAATGCTTACAAGCCAACATAGCTTTTTTTTTTAAAAAAAAAATGTAATTCGCTTTAGTGTATATGTATAAGATAGTCCGATCAGTTCAATATTGTCTGTCCTATCTGGTGGTATAACTTATGATTAAATTGTTTTCCTTTTTAGGATTTGTTTCATTTCCTTGACCATTTGATTTGTCGGAGTGAGAAGATCATAGTCCATGCATTCCTCCCCAAACGAATTATTGCTCATACTGTTTTTCTTTTTTAGTCTTCACTTCTTACCAGTACCTTTGCCTTCCATCCTTTGATTACTTGTAAACCTAACCTGCTTACTACCAAATAGATCTCTATTAGCATGTTAACACTGTTGAATTCAAAATCTTGCTAATTATTGCCTGTTGTTGTTAAGAGTATTTCAGTTTTCAGATATTTCACTGCATAAGAGGTTTTTTTATGTCCCTTGAGTCCTTATACCATACTAGCAAACATACTTGTGTGTTGCAACGGGACGTTGAGGTTGTTGCGTGGTTACCTGAAATCAGGTCATGCTTTTCAATTCTTTTGGGAATCGAACTATGTACTGTTCCTAGATGCGTGCTGCACTAACTCATGAGTATGGGAGATTTAGAGATTTATCATTGAATCACATCATGCGTTCCAATTCGTTTTGCGATTGGATTCCGCACCATGCCTAAACACTCTGCTCTAGCTCGTATGGGTGCGTGAGAGAGTGGCAGATCATGAAAATGGTTCGTATTCCAATTTGCTTTGGAATCGGACTCCGCACCGTGCTTAAACACACAACTCTAACTCGTACGGACACGATGAGAGATTGGTCCGTTGGATCCTATTGGACGGTTGTGAGCTTTAGAGACGCATTTTGTTTCTGCGTCACTAAATAGAGTGTATTCTTTGTGCTGATTTGGCATAGTGTTTATTTAGACGGGACTGGACAATAAACAGCTCAAATTTTCCATTTGTATAATTAGTTGGACGATCTATTCAACCAGGTTCCAATATGACAAGTTTTGTTCATATAATTAAAACTGCAACAATAACTTAGTGGGGGAATCCTTCTTTCGTAGGGAAGGGTCAAACGTTCAAAGGCTTGTGATGTTGCCTTTTACTTTGTTTTTTACATTTATTATATTGTTGTTATTTATCTTTATAAATTCTCCTTCCGATTTTTTAGAAAAACAGCTATGCAGGAACACACATGAAAAAAAGAGGGGTGGGAGGTACGCGTGATGGGAAAAACCGGTAAAAAAATAGGAATTTGGAGGTGGAACACACATGAAAATACAAGTGGAAGGCATGCATGTGTGATGGGGGAACTGGTAAAAAGAATAGTACTTGCTCAGTTCCAAATGATAAGTCGTTCTGACTTGTTGGGTACATCAATTTTGCTATGTATCTACATATAACGTATGTCTAGATACATAGCAAAATCTATGTACCAAAAAAGTCAAAGTGACTTATAATTTGGAACGGAGGGAGTAGTATGGTGGTGAAAGAAAAGTCGGAAAGGAAAAAAAAAAGGTAAAAAAGAGGAGCACGTGGAGGGAGAAAAATCAATTGGAACACGGTCTCAGAAAAATCAAGAGGAAGGCAGGGAGAATCTGGAGGAATGTGGTAAAAAAAGTCCAGGTCACATACAGGACAGGTAAAGGCGCAAGGACACTTTGGGAAGAAAAAAAAAGATGGATGGAAGAATCATTTCGCTCATGATTTTAGCCCTAAACTGAGAGAACTTGAGCAAACACTTCTAATATATCCTGATCATGCATTTTTATATGGAAGTATGTAACTATGTCGTATTCAATTAATGAAGGTACATTTTAAGGCCCTGCATCTACAACAAAATGCTTACCAGCTGATGTATTGTATAAGTTGCTAGAGATATATCTATTGTCCTTAAAACTGAACTTCATCTTTCCTCTCTGATTCAATAACTGCTAACTAATCCTCTTCCCAACTTATTTTTCTTAATACTCAATCGGGTACCCTCCTGTCTATTCTATTTGCAGGAGTGGGGAGTTGATCCTACCAAAGAGATACCTCCAAGCGCAGCTGCAACCAAGTACACTGATTTCCTACTTGCAACTGCGGCTGGAAAAGTTGATGGCACAAAAGGTTCTGACAAAATGGTTACTCCATTTGAGAAGACTAAAATTGCTGCATACACTGTTGGGGCCATGACTCCATGCATGAGGCTTTATGCATATCTAGGCAAAGAACTCATGGCTTTCCTTAAACAAGATGAAAATCACCCATACAAGAAATGGATTAACACATATGCATCCAGTGATTTTGAGGTATAGAATTATCATTGTTCTATACATCAGTGCTTCTACATTTGACTGTAGTATTGGCTCATGCTTCAATGCAATTGGTTCATGTGCTGAATCATCTCTCGTTTTACCCTCTCTTCCACAGGACAATGCACTCCAAATAGAAGAATTGCTAGACAAACTAAGTGTCTCATTAACTGGTGAGGAGCTTGAGATTATTGGCAAGCTCTACCAGCAAGCTATGAAACTGGAAGTGGAGTTCTTTTCTGCTCAGCTTGTGGACCAAACTGTTGTAGCTCCACTTTCAAGATATTGTGATCCAAAATATAAACTCTTGATCTTTTCTGATTTTGATTTGACATGCACTGTTGTTGATTCATCTGCCATTTTGGCGGAGATTGCAATTTTGTCATTCCAAAAGGCAAGTCAAAGTGGGATTGATAATAACCTCGACCGTACAAAATCGGGAGACCTGAGAAATTCATGGAACATGCTCTCTAAGCAATACATGGAAGAGTATGAGGAATGCATGGAAAGACTACTTCCTCTAGAAGAATGTATGTGCATCATGGCCTCTGTGTTTCATTTGTTTCTATTGGTTTGTGATTTTGCAATAGTAGAAAGCCATGCTTGAATGATTTAATGATTGTTTGTGTTTTTTGTTTTATTACAGCAAAGTCACTAGATTATGATAAACTGTATAAAGGCCTGGAGGTGCTAGCTGAGTTTGAGAAGCTTGCAAATTCTAGGGTTGTCGACTCTGGTGTCCTGAGGGGAATGAATTTAGAAGACATCAGGAAAGCTGGGGAGCGGCTTATTCTTCAAGGTGGCTGTAAAAATTTCTTTCAGAAGATTGTAAAAACAAGGGAGAACCTCAATTTGGATATCCATATTCTTTCCTATTGCTGGTGTGCAGAACTTATAAGATCCGCCTTCTCATCAGGTATTCTTTGCTCTCTGATGACAATGGCACCACCACGATTAAGCCAATTTGCTAGCCTGTGTTGTTGCTATAAGCTAACAATCAACATCTCAAATTTGTTTTGAATAGACAGTTCTTAACTGGCAGTTACTTTCCTTTGCATTGTCATGCCTTCATGCAGCCGGTTGTCTAGATGGTTTGAACATACATTCAAACGAGTTTGCCTTTGAGGAATCTGTTTCAACTGGTGAGATTGACAGAAAGATGCAGTCTCCGCTAGACAAAGTTGAAAAGTTCAAGAGCATCAGAAGTGACGTGGACAGTACAGTGCCATTCCTGTCTGTTTTATATTGGAGACTCAGTTGGAGATTTGCTCTGCTTATTGGAGGCGGATATTGGTATCATCATTGGGTCAAGCACAATCTTGCGTAGAGTGGGCAAACAGTTTGGTGTTTCTTTTGTCCCATTGTTCCCTGGTCTAGTAGAGAAGCAGAGGCAACTGACGGAGGAAGATGCATCCGCGTTCAAGGCACGGTCTGGAGTGCTTTATACGGTTTCTAGCTGGTCAGAAATACACGCCTTCATACTGGGACGTGATTTCAGCTGATGGATGTGCTGCTTCTTTTCTCCATTTTTTCCCCTTGGGAAGCAAACACTTTTGCCGGTTGGTGCTGATGCACATGATACGTGAATCCCAAATGTGGTCATTTTATGAAAGCCACATGTCAATTCTGGCTACCAGTATGTATGAATGAATACCAATACCAGTTTGTGGTGTGGAATGGGTCAAGTTTGTACCCTTGAATTGTGATCAATGTTTCATTGATTCGTCCTTATTCCATTTGGGACTAATTTCTGGGTGGTTGCTGGCATTATACTGCAGCAACTACAGTATAAATATAGAGTGGTATATATATCCCCACGTCCAAGTGTAACGACGACAGCATATATGTAGAGATGTTTGTTTTTAATTGGCAATAAATTAAATGTGATGAGATTGCTGCGCGCTTGCTTATTGTCTGGCTGCTACATGACCTTTATTAAAGATATATTTGTATGCTTACTCTGAATGATGAAGTACAGCTCGTTTTTATTTCAGATTCTCAGCAGGAACCGTACGTGCGTACTAATACTAGGGTGCAATGCATGCTACTGGATGTATGATGTATCGTATCGGAGTACAAATACTGATGAACTGCTGGGGTTTGGATGGGTGCATAATATATATGATATGATATGAATGTCGTCTGTTTTCATATGCTATACTCTTGTCTTAGTTGAAGGTGGCAGCGGCGCGGGCGTCGACGGCGAGGATGGTGCTGAGGTTGAGCGGGTGCATGTACTCCTGGGGGCCGTCCATGAACTGGCTGACGATGATGCGGTTGGCCTTCTCCGTGGGATGGAAGTTGTCCCAGAAGGCGTAGACGTTGCGGTCCGGGCAGACGTTAGAGGCAGCGGTGCAGAGCCCCAGGCCGTTGTAGGGGCCCTGGCCGCAGCACGCGACCTTGGAGGTGACGAAGCCGTAGGTGGCCGGGTCGGAGATGAAGTCCATGTGCATCCGGTAGGCGTTGACGGCGACGAAGACGTCGGCGCCGAGTTCGGCGTTGACGCCCTTGATCATGTCCACGAGCTGCGGGTTGTAGAGCGCGGCGGCGCGCTGCAGCTCGGCGTTGCACTCCCCGGCCCGGCTGCCCCGCAGCGCCAGCTCGGCGGGGGCGCACCCGAGCGGCCCGGACCCCGTGACGAGCACCCGGCGCGCCCCCAGGGAGTAGAGCTGGCGCAGGATCTTGGCGTACTCGGAGACGATGTAGCGCACGTAGTCCGGCAGCGACATCTCCCGGGACCGCGCGGAGAAGGGCACCAGGTAGTAGTTGTTGATGAAGTCGTTGCCGCCGAGCGTGATGAGCACGAGCGCGCCCCGGACGAGGCGCGCCGTGGCGTCGCCGCCGATGAGCCGGCTCACGCGGCTCTGGTACTGCTGGAAGTACCGGAGCTGCTTCTGGATGCGAATGATGTTGGCGAACTGGATGCCCGTGTCGTTGAGGATGCCGACGCCGGCCGACGCGAAGTTGGCGCCCACCAGCAGCTTGCGCCCGTCGAGGTGCGGGCTCAGGTACGGCAGCGCCGGCTCCGCGCCCAGGTACTCGCTGATGATGTCCGGCACGTTCCGGCCGTTGGAGAAGCGGCCCGTGGCGCGGTGCGTCGGGTAGTCGAGGCCGTACGGCGGCGAGTCGGCGCGCGCCGTGGTGGCAAGGTAGTTGTTGTTGCCGCTGTCCACCAGCGAGTCGCCGAAGACGAAGAAGGCACGAGGCGGGGTGGCCGTGGCCGTGGCCGAGCGCACCTGCAGCTGCTGCAGGAGGGCGACGAGGAAGCACGCGGTGGCTGCAACGAGCCTGCCGCGGTTACCTGCTGCTGCAACTGAAAGCATTCTGTGATATGCTCTGCTTGACTGCTTCTTCGCTGCTGCGGGACGCCTAGGAAGAAATGCAGACAGTACGATGGTAAATACTACAATGTTGATGGAGCTGCTGCACTGCATTGCGTAGCATGGCGAGGATCCCTATTTATACCGCATTGCAGTAGCCAGTCTAGTGATCTATCGATCTGTCCATGCATCTTGAAGGGTGGCATGGCAGCAGCAGCAGCCGCCCCGGGCGGCTCTTGGGGATGTTCAACCACACTGCCCGAGTTCTGTGATTGCAACGCTACTAGAAGAAGAAAAGTAGTACGATGATCCTCCGCCTGTAACCGCGGCTGCGTACACGCCGCCCTGTCCTTGCGTAACAAACCCTACACCACCGCATTTTTCAGGCCATTCATTTTCTAGCTTCGGCAGTCATTTTTCAGGCCATTCATTTTCTTGCTTCGGCAGTGGTGGTATGTTTACTCCAGAAATCACAGGCAGCAGCAACACAGGCTCAGTCAAACTCGGGAGTTTCAACTACCTGCTCTCTACCTGCTATTGCTCCACGGCACATGCCGCACATCGTAGCACTCCATGCATTGCAATATATACTTACGTGCTTGGGGGAAAAAAAAGACAAGATATTGCCAAGGACACAAGATTTTTCGAGTTCGTTCCCTTTTCTTTCTAGCAATGTGCATACAATGGTCAAATACTCAAATTTAATGATTTAATCGGGGTACCAAACAAAAATGTGTAAATGACACCAGTTTTTTTTTTTTTTCATGCAGGCATAATGGATCTGCAACAATTAAAAACTCAATCCAGGGCGGCCCAAGTCTCTCAAGCCTCAAATCCATCCTTGCAGAACATGCTCGAACTTGTCATGAGTTGTTAATGTTGATATCCAGGTCCGACAGCATGCTAGCTAGCTCCCCCTTGCGATACAGCTTCACAGTATCTACAACATAAGAACAGCGCATGCCAGTATTAGCAAGTTTTTTATTTTTATTTTTATTTTTCTTGCAGACTCACAGCCTACCTTATAATGCAGATGCAGCCACAGCGCAGGTATACAAAGCAAAAATTGAAGATGGATGCCTATTTGCTTCCATTATAGTCCTAGAGATGGCCATTTGCTTTCATTATCTTTCTAGTGTTATGCATAGAAGAAATTTAAGATGGATGGCCTTTGCTTCAATTATCTTCCTAGTGTTAGAAGAATATGAATCTTTGGCTAAGCCGAATTGCAGCAATTGGCCTCTCAAATACAGGAAAATTGTATAGATTTCTTAATATACACAGTGAAGGGCAGGTCTGGTGGTGCAGTGGTGAGAACTGTCTCACTGAGTCAACAGGTCGTGGGTTCGAAGCAGCCTCTCCACAGATTTGCGGGGGAAAGGCTTGCCTCGTTTTTTCCCTTCCCCAGACCCCACTCATGTGGGAGCCTCCGGCACTAGGTCTGCCCCTTTCTTAATATACACAGTGATGCACCAGGGTCATTTCTAATCTAGCTTCACCCCTGCTCATGTAGCAGGAATAGCTTAGCACAGGAAAAATATTATGAGGTTACATACACTCTCATCTAATCAACAGGTGGACATCATCATTTGCCACATTGTATGTCTGTAAATATTGACCAGCATTCAACAAAGAGCACATTTATAATACCTGTACAGCCACCAACATGCTTTCCACCTGGATAGAACAAAATAAATATTTAAAGAACGAGTCATACAATGTACATCAAAATAAGATGCACGCGTGAATTAATTTCCATGCAGTAACAAACTACAAATGGGACACATGTGTTGGTATCATTGAGTGATTTTGCTACTGAGTCATGAACAAAAGAAAAAAAGCTAGGCTAGACAGTAAAAATGACAGTGAGAAAGGGAAAGTTGGCATACCGATGAAAACATTAGGAACAGTAGACTGTCCAGTCAGCCTCTCTAATACCTTTTGTAGTTGTGGTCCTTGAGCGCCTGAAAGGGATTAGCTCTCAGTTGCATAAGAACATCAACATGAAAATTGATATAGAATCACTGCATTACTACACTGTTTCTCATTTTCAGTACGAAATAATTACCAAAAAATCACAACCCTTCAGGTCATGTGACTTACTAAAACACAAAAACACAAGCATAGCGAGGGTACATTTAGATATGCTGACATGGCCAGCTTCACTAGCACACTCAAAACACATAGGAATCTACTATACCTAAATAGGAGGAACCCACTACAAGAATTCTCTGAAATTCTGTGAAACCACATCATCAATATGGCCCACACTTCCCATCTCTTTGTTGAACGCAGGAACAGGACACCACCTATCGTCAGGAACAGGACACCACCAATCGTTTCTCCTTCCCAGACATGACGCCCCACCCATTCCCGGCCTCTTCTCATTCCGTTACGACTCTTCTTCTTCCCAATATCCTTTCCACTGCCACAACTCACGATCCCATTATGCATTATGAGAAAGAAACTGCTCGAGTCGTGGTTGCTGCCTTCATGTTTAAATCTAGCGTTGCCTTCTCACGACCTCATCTCTTGCGTTCCTTCACGAATCACGGCCCGACATCTTCTCCGGCAACTCTCCTCTGCCCAATCGTCGACGGGTGGCTCTGCCTTACTGTATGCTCCTCACTCGCCGATGCTGCCGCAACAACTGGCTTACCTTTGTGCAAATGGCGCAGCACCTAATATGTCGTGGCGGCCTGGAGGGTGATGAGAGCGCCACTGTCCTTCGCGTCCTCCGGCTCCTCCATGGGAAGCAGCAGGTGCTTCTTCTCGGCCCGAAGAACATGCTCAGTGCTGTCGCCGGTCTACGCTGGTCGCTTATATTGGATGCCGTCGAGTCGACACGTCACCAGTACTGACGCGTCGGAGCCGCTGCGGCGCTACGGCCAACAGGATCGCCACCATCGACGCGTCCACCAGGATCGCCACCATCGAGTTGGTCCTTGCGTCGCCGCCGCGGGACGTTTTGTGTCTTCGCTGGTACGTATGTCGTATGGGAAGTATCCATATCTTAGAGTAACTGGTGGTAAGTATCTGTGTTGCATTTTTTTGCATGGTATAAGTATACATGTGGCCTCTCCTACTAATCATGCTGTTTTTTTCCCCACCACATGCAGGACATCGTCAATAAATGCATGCAATTTTCCACTACACTCCTGCTACCAAAAATTAGAAATATAGTTATAGTTATTTACAATAAGAAATTTTATTAGTACTCCTATCATGGTGATCGTGATATATCTTCGTGAAGATGACTAATCTATTTTTGAACGGATTCTATTTATTTCCATAGCACACAAAACATTATTATATTTTTTCTTATATATACTCACTTTTAAATTAGTTAAACAACAATTGTTGAAATTACTACATGAATCCTATAAAACTATCTACAATAATCTCTATAAAATCCCCGCAGCAACGCGCGGGGTATCATATAGTAAAAAGGTATGCTGAAGTCCCTAGTGCCTATGAGCATGCCAAATGCATCATGTCTGGTATGAGTCAAACAAGTATATCAGTATATGCAATAGTTCAAGCTACTGTTCAACTGGTAGTGCTTTTGCATGTGATAGGATTTGTAGCTGATGGTGACGAAGAAGAAAATCAAATGAAATTATGAACATGTGGGTTCTGAAAGACCATATAACTGGTTGGCAAAGTGGAGAGGAGAGGAGCCTGAACGAAAAACTGTATATGACATTCATACACATTCCATGAGGCACAAAATAGTGCACAACCACCACACATATCACACAGGGAAAAAATGGGTATGACCATAGCACATTTGGCCAACTGAACATGACTAGCAGCGTCAAATACACGGGTGTTGATGGTATCCATGGTAGGACAAGGAGAATCACAAGCCACAAGACATCGATGCTCATTTCTGATGGGATGTTGTGCTTTCACAGGTTCAGGCTAGGTAAATTTTAACCTACACCTGCTATAGAGCTTTGGCAATAGAGATTATCAATTCCCAATGGTGTTGAGTGTGCAAGAGCACCTTTCCATGTATGTATATATACTTGATCAAACATTTATAACGGCCTCAACCAGTCAACCCGAATTGGCCAGGGGTGCAGCTAAAGAAACCACAGAATTTGAACAGCAGAAAACATCTCCATCTCAAAGTCACAAAAATGATTCAGTAACATTGCCACCTGATTGCCCAGGGACATGGGGTATAGCACGGTTGGACAGTCAATGGTAATGATACATGATTTCATATATGACAGTCCTTTAGGGTAGTCTGAATTAAAGAGCGGTACTCAGTTCAGATCCAGAGAGAGCATCGCTCTGGAAGGAAGTGTTAGATGGTCTCTATCCATTGGACCCTTGGATCCGCGCCCTGATGGAGGGCGCCCAACCTTACATGGTTCGTGGGCCCCCGTCACACTACGCTATAAAAGAAAGGTGGGGGCCGGCGGCTTAGATTACGAAGTTCACCTGAGCTACAGTCGCCCCACCGACACAACCCTAATCCGATCTAAGAGAGGGTGCGCAGCCAGTGACGGAAAGCATCGCCACCGGCCAACGCCGCCACTGCACCGCCGCCCTTCGACACAGCACCGCCACCGGGTCTTCACCAAGCACCGCGATGGCGAGCCCGTCTTCCTCAAAGGCGGCCGATGGTTTGCACCCCCTTCACCCCTCTATCTATCACTCTATCTATTAATCCTGTACTAGTAGATGTTCTAGGACTCACTATTTATTCCAAAAGCATGTAGACACGCTAAATCAATGGCTAGTGATCATGTTTTAGGTCTATCAATGGTATCAGACGCCTAACTAGGTGTAGATCTAGCCTATCGGAAAAGAAAACCGAGTAGCAGCATTTAGAAGGAGGTGATAGATTCGTTTAGGGATCTAAACAGAGGGTTCATCGAACCCTAAACCCAATTCGGGTGAAGAAAAGAAGCAAGAGAAGGGTCTCGGTTTTGAAAAGCAACTCAAACCCTAACCCTAACCCTAACCCGCGCAAACCGCTCGGGGAAGATGAACAGTAAGGAAACCCTAACCCTAATCTCGATCCTAACCCCATCCCCAACCCTAAATCGGATAGATCCGAGAAGAAAAGAAAGAAAAATCCAATCAGAGAAGAAAAGGGGAAGGGGAAGAGGCCTACTTCATCATGCATCACACCCACCACTTCTCGGCCTTGAAGAAGGTCGAGTGCCGCTACATGTTGAGCGAAGTGTGCTCTCGCAGCCAAGGCGCGTCATGACCCGCCGCCGCTCGGCGGCGCCAGCAAGCTCATCTCTTTGGGGAGCGCGCCTTGCGCCAAGAAAGGGGCAGCGACGACGCCGTCATCGCCTTGCCTCACTCGGTGTCGTCGCGGGGCTGAGAGAGAAGGTGGAGAAGAGAACAGCCAGATCTAGGGTTTCGGGAGCTTCACCGCAGCGCGTGTAGGGATCAGGGCACCGCCGCCTAGACCGCTTCGGCAATGGCGTGCTCACCCGCTTCGAGCTGCCACACACGGCCGGCCGGGCGACGGCGCCATCACCTCTCTTCGCTCTCATTGTTTTTCACTCACTTGTTCTTGCTACCGAGAGAGAGAGAGGGAAGAAAAGAATGAATTAGGGTTTGGGAGCGCCACCAGCCGGTGGGGGGGGGGGGTTGATCTCCCGAAGTCGTCGCCTGGCCGTCGGATCTAGATGAACGGACGAAAGCGAACGGGCCAACATTCGGCCCAGGCGGGCGCGTGCGGCGGGCAACTTTGCCGGCCCAGACCTAGGTTGCGGCCTGGGAAGACGCAGCGCGCGCGAGAACAGTATAGGCCGGGCCAAATTTCGCTGTTTCAACGGACTTGGGCGATATGAACAGTGTTCTACGAGTTTAAGTTTTATTTTTTCAGAAGCAAATTTTTATGATATTTGTCTAGTTTAATATCTCTGTTAAAATTTGAACCAACAGGTTAATTTTTCTGAGAATAGTTGAGAAAAGTTCAATGCTTCTGAAAAATAGATAATTTTTTTTTATGTTTCCACTGTAATGTTAAAGTTAATAATCTTCAAATTTAATTCGAACCAACGGGAGAATTTAATTTGAAGAGTAGTCAATTTTAATCAGTAAATTATAATGTTGTTATTTTTCTGACCAACGTTGATAATAGCAATATTATAATGTTTATTCATAAGTTTTCCATGCATTAATTCTATTTCTGCTCAACGGTGATGTAGAATTAGTGTATAAAAATATTGTATGTTTTAATTTTGACCAACGTTAAATTAAAGCATGCAATTATAATGACATATTTTCTCATTATCTCTGACGGTGTTTTGCAGAACTCAACCCAATAGCATTCATCTCGCACATACCACCTCTAGAAGGGGGTAATTCCAGAGTATGCTGAGAGAAGTGTGAGCTCGCACTTGCGCTGTCCAAGAATGACTTAGCGCTAACCTCCCCGTGTCCTACTGAGCCAGTGGACCCGGTGAGGGAAGAAAACGAGTCTGTTGCTGATTTTACTGCTCGGTAGCGAGATTATGCAGAAGTGCAGATGAAGTATGATCTCGAACGCAAGAAATAGGACATATCAAACCGCAAGTGCTTGATGGTGGCTAAGTCTACAATTTCAGATGCTATAAGGGGGTCTATCCCAGGCTGTGATACCGCCACGGAGTACCTTAAGAAGGTGGAGAGTCAGTTCACTGGCTCTTGAAAGGCTTATGCCAGTACATTGATCAAGAAATTGTTCAATGAGAAATATACTGGTGGCGGTATTAGAGAGCACATATTGAAGATGAGCAACACAGCTTCGAAGCTGAAGCCAATGGATTTGGGGCTCAAGGATGAGTTTTTGATTCATTTGGTTTTTGCTTTCTTGCCAAAGAAATATGAAACCTTTGTTGTTCACTACAACATGCAGCCCGACAAGTGGGACATAAAGAAGCTCATCGCAATGTGTGTTCAAGAAGAGGAAAGGCTGAAGTCCTTACAAGGTGACTCTGCTAACCTTGTGAAGGACAAGAAAAAGAACTTCAATAAGAATGCCAAACCTCAAGGAAAAGCCCCTCAGTCTGAGCATCATCAGAAGAACAACAATGCTCAAGTTGAGAATGATCAGTGCAAATGGTGCAAGAAGCATAGACAATACCAGAGGGATTGTCCAGACTTCCTGAAGAGCCTGTTGAAGAGAGGTGAGAATTTCATTACATTCATAAATGAATTCTTGTATTTAAGTTATGCAAAATTTACTTGGTGGATTGATTCAGGTACAACTGTTCATGTTGCAAATTCATTACAGGGATTCCGTACGAGAAGGGCCCTGCAAAGAGGAGAAAGAAGAATTAAAGTAGCAAATGGAGTTGAAGCTCAAGTTGAAGCCATTGGAGATCTTTCTCTAGCATTAGTTGATGGTTTTCTACTTAAGCTTTCAGATGTTCTATTTGTACCCTCTTTGCGAAGAAACTTAATAAGTGTTTCACATTTAGATGATGGATATGATTGCCATTTTGGTAATGACAAATGTCAGATTGTTTATAATAATAAATGTGTTGGTCTTGCCTTCCGACAAGACAAGATTTATTTATTACCACTTTCTGAGAATGTGAATGATGTAAGTACTGAGAATGAGAATGCCTCTTCGTCTATGAATGCCACAAATAAACGAAAGAGAGTGCATGATGTATCTTCAAAATTATGGCACTGTCGTTTAGGCTATATTTCGAGGGGGAGAATAGGACGATTGATTAAGAAATCAATTCTTCCGCCATTAGAATTTTTAGATTTAGAACAATGCATAGATTGCATAAAAGAAAAGTACGTTAAGAAAATAAAGAAAGATGTCAAATGAAGCGCAGGAATTTTAGAAATAGTTCACACAGACATCTGTGGTCCTTTTCCTGTGAAGAGCGTGGATGGTTATGATTCATTTATAACGTTCACAGATGACTATTCTCGTTTTGGCTATATTTATCCAATTAAGGAAAGATCGGAAGCATTAGATAAATTTAAGATATTTAAGGCTGAAGTAGAAAATCAGCACAACTTAAAGATTAAGGTAGTAAGGTCCGACCGTGGGGGAGAGTACTACGGTCGACACACCCCATATGGCCAAGTCCTTGGACCTTTTGCAAAGTTAATATTCTACACCGGACGAGCCTCAATAGAATGGAGTAGCTGAAAGACGCAACCGTACCTTAATGGATATGGTAAGAAGCATGATAAGTTACTCTACCTTACTAATAAGTTTATGGACGTAGGCGTTAAAAACCGCCATTCATATTCTTAATTGAGTGTCAAGTAAGTCGGTGCCTAAAACACCGTATGAGTTGTTGACAGGAAAGAAAAACCCCCACTAAACTATTTACGTGTGTGGGGTTGTCAAGCTGAGGAAAAAGTATTTAACTCAAACATAGAAAAGCTAGACTCCAAAACAGTCAGCTGCCATTTCATTGGTTATTCAGAAAAGTCAAAATGTTATCGCTTCTATTGTCCTGACAGACAAACGAAGTTTGTAGAAACAAGACATGCTGTCTTCTTGGATGATGATATGATCAGGGGGAGCATGGTAGCGCGAGAAATAAGTTTTAAAGAGAAGCGGGTATATGTGCCCACTTCTATGGTTCAGGAGCCATTCTTCACGCTACATGTTGTTGCTATACCAACAGTGCAAGACACTATAGTAACAACCCCTGTTGTTAGTCTTTTTGTGGCAACAATGAATGAACATGAGAAACCTGTCCTTCAGATCCCTAAGAACCCGTTGTCACACATGAGAAAGAGCAACAACAGCCTCATATAGAACAAGCGTCATCTAACGAGGCCCCTAGAAGGTCTCAAAGAGTCAGGAGATCAGTCATTCTTGATGATTATGAAGTTTATGAAAGTGAGGAATTTCAAATGAAGGGTGATCCCACCTCATTTGAACAAGCCATAAAAAGCGCTCACTCATCCAAGTGGCTTGAAGCCATAGAAGATGAAATGAAATCAATAAAAAACAACAATGTTTGGAATTTAGAAACAAATCCTAAAGGAGCCAAGACAGTAGGCTGTAAATAGGTCTACAAAACCAAATATGACTACAAAGGGAATATAGAAAGATTTAAAGCGCGACTTATGACGAAAGGCTTCACGCAAAGAGAATGTATAGATTATAATGACACATTTTCTCCAGTCTCATGTAAAGATTCTTTTAGAATCATAATGGCGCTTGTAGCACATTACGACTTAGAGTTACATCAGATGGATGTAAAGACGGCGTTTTTAAACAGGAATTTGGAGAAAAATGTTTATATGGCACAACCGAAAGGTTTTGTTGTGGAAGGAAAAAAACACAAGGGATGCCGCCTGAAGAAATCCGGTATTTAAAGTTTGATAGTACAATAAGAAAGTTTGGGTTTCAAGAAAATATAGATGACAATTGCGTTTATGCAAAGTTCAAAAATAAAAAATACATTTTCCTAGTCTTGTATGTGGATGACATCTGGCTCGTTAGCAGTGATGTTAATATACTACTAGAAACAAAGAAGTTCTTGTCCTCAAAGTTTGATATGAAGGATCTCGGTGAAACTTCGTTCGTTCTAGAAATAGAGATTCATCGAGATAGAGAAAAGAGATTTTAGGATTATCACAAAAGGTATACTTAGAAAAAGTTCTAAAGAAATACAGTATGCAAAATTATAAGTCATCACCTGCTTCTATAGTCAAGGGCGACATATATGAGGAATTTCAATGTCCCAGGAACAAATATGAGATCGATCAAATGAAAGCGGTTCCATATAGTTCAGCTGTCGAAAGTTTACAGTATGCTCAAGTGTGTACTCGCCCTGACTTAGCATTTGTTACCGGATTGCTTGGCAGATATCAGAGTAATTTCAGAAATAGAACACTGAAAATTAGCAAAGAAAGTTTTGCGTTACCTGCAAGGGACGAAGGGTCTCATGCTAACGTACAGAAGATCTGATTCCCTGCACATAGAGGGGTATACAGATTCTGATTATGCGGGAGATGACGGAAAGTCCACGTTAGGATACATATTCACCCTCGCAGGAGGTGTTATATCGTGGAAAAGCTCAAAGCAAACCGTCACTATATCGTCCACAATGTATGCCGTTAATTGGCTAAAGAAATTTATGTCCGGGTTGAAAGTGGTAGACGACATACATAAACCACTTAAGTTATACTGCGATAATAATCCAGCAATATGTTATACTCACAACAATAAGTCAAGTGGTGCTACCAAACACATTGACATAAAATATTATGTTGTGAAAGATAAAATCTAGGATCATATAATTAGTCTTGAGCATATAAAAACAAAAAAGATGCTTGCGGATCCGCTTACAAAAGACTTACCACCCAGCGTGTTCAGAGAACACTTAACCGGCATAGGTTTAAGGGAAAACTCATGATTCCTGGACAATAAGGGCCTAGTTAAGAATCTGTTTCAAAACAGAGATGTACATTGTAGCTGTTTAATCTAGGTACGCTCTATGCACTGATCTATAATAGAATAGAAACAAGATAAAGTAAGTAAGTTGAGTTTAAGTAATAAGGTGAGATCAATGGGGAGAATGTTAGATGATCTCTATCCAATTGGCCCAACTGGACCCTTGGATCCGCGTTCTGATCGGGGGCGTCCAACCCTACATGGTTGGTGGGCCCCCGTCACACTGCGCTATAAAAGAAAGGTGGGGCCGCGGCTCAGATTACAAAGTTCACCTGAGCTACAATCGCCCCACTCGACACAATCCTAATCCGATCTAAGAGAGGATGCGCAGCCAGTGACGGGAAGCACCGCCACCGGCCAACGCCGCCACTGCACCGCCGCCCTTCGATACAACACCGCGATGGTGAGCCCATCTTCCTCAAAGGCGACCGATAGTTTACGCCCCCTTCACCCCTCTATTACTCTATCTATTAATCGTATACTTGTAGATGTTCTGGGACTTACTGTTTATTCAAAAGCAGGTAGACGCTAGATCTATGGTTATTGTTATTGATCCTGTTTTAGGTCGACATAAAGGGGAAAAGGGGACGAACCGAGATGGTCGAGCTCGATGACGTGGGGCTGCACACCGATCCGCTTGAAGAGCGCCTTCACCTCCGTGGAATATCTGCCGACGTTGAGCATGGCATGGAATCAGTCAATCAGATGAGGTGAGGGCGAATCGAAGCTAATGAATCAATGCTAGGTTTGGTTCAGTAGGGGCTATTAATCTTACGAGCACCATGACTTGGAGTAGATGACAACGGGGTTGTCGGCCACCGTCTTCTTGACGGAATCCTCCATCCGCGAACCGAAGGAAGAGTCCGGTGATGGCGAGGAGGAGGAGGCCCTGGCGGCGACGGCCCTGGCGCGACGTGCGGCGAGGGACAGGCGGGGACGAGATAGCAAACAGGGGAGAGAAAGCGGAAGGCCAAGGGTGTCCGTGGGAAGGCGGCAGAGGGCCATGCCCGACTGCGGCGGCGGCATCTGAGCCCGGCGATGGCGATGGCGATGGCGGTGGCGGAATCTCTCCCGAGTCCTCTCGACCGTGTCTCCTCCGGCCACAACACGAGTACACGACACGACTCTGCTTTTTTTTTTTTTTTTTTTTTGAGCAACAACTCGACTCTGAATGGGATTGGATGGATTCCCTTCATGGACTGGGCTTTGAAGCCCCAAAGCATCCATCCAGCTCTAGGCCTCTAGCCCAGCCCGTGCAAAGTTTTGATTCACCTGTGTAATTTATTCCTGTGAAATTTCTGCGTTTATAAATCTACCATATCTACCATATATTCCCTTATTTGTGTATACCATTTTTTTCTCTCTCCTTAAGCCACGTCACCAGCTTTCCCTGTCCGTCAGATTTCTCATCAACGGGCACAGGGTCACCAGCTCTTCTGCTTCCAGAAAACTCTTTGCCTGACCCCAATGAAAACAGCCCAATCCCACCCCCTCCCGCATCCGCTTCTTCCTTGCCGTCCCCGCTCCGTCTCCACACAGCCGCCACCGCGTTGCCGTCCCTGAACTCCCACCGCCTCCGCCCGTCCGCGTCTCCTCAGCCGCCGCCGCATGTCCAACCAGCTGCGTTGCTTGCAGGTTCGGGCCTCTCTCCGCGCCCACCCGTCCCACCATCCCTGACGCTTGCCGCTCCGCCGCCGCCGGGGCCCTGCGCGGCAGCACCGGTCCGAGCCCAGTCTGCGCCGACGCCTCAAATCCTCCATCGTCGCCCGACCATCACGGCCCCCACGCCAGCGCCCGCGGATGTGGCGGCCGGCCGGCCCTGCCGGCGGCTGCGTGCGTCGATGCGGCGGCTTGCCTTCCTCGCGGCTGCCTGCGTGGATCCAGCGCGGACAGGCAGCGATGGTGCCGTCGCTGCACCTTCTCCACGCCTCTTGCCTCCTGCCCCTCGCCCCGCACCAGATGCCCGGATGAGCAATAGCGTCCATGCGAGATGACAAACTACTGAAGGCACCCACATCCTGACTCGCCACACAGACATACGTGCTCCATCGATCTCCTCCGTGCCACGCTGCCGACCTTCCTCTGCATGGAGGCCATCGAAATGTGGTGAGTTCATCCATCAAATCGTTAGGCTCCCTTTCCCCCCGACCAATCCTCTCATATTTGTTGGATTACGCAGGTGCACGACCTTCATCAGGGAAAAGGAGAAATTTTGGGAAGAAGAAGGCTGATGTGTTTGTGCAAAAACCAGAGGCAGGAGTGCAGGTGTTGTGTATTATACTTGCTCTGATTTGGGAGAGTTAGAGGAGGAGATGGCTTGGAAAATCAGGAGCAGGTGCTTCAAATTGAAGGAGGATGCAAATGTTTTGCGTTGCTTGAGGATGAAGGGGCTACTTCCTGTTGACGCTGTGCTTGCTGGGAAAGAACAGTAATCCAACAAGGTGTCCATGGTGTGCTGCTACCTCTAGGTAATGTTCCATGCTAATCTACAGCTACAAGCACCCCAACATTTGAAATATCCTTCCATAAGTAAAATTATGCACTTTTCTACTCACTAATTTATATGTTTCATTTCTTTACGTTGTTTGGTCCTGATAGGCTCATAGCCATAGCTGTCAAAAAAAAACATGCTCTGTGTTAGTCTAGGCAAAGGAGCATGTCATACAATAAATAAATAAATAAATAAAAGGAAGAAACAAAGACAATTTGATAGTTTTTTAGACCTAAAGTAACTAATTTGTTAGCAGATATAGCATAATATGACTAATAAGGTTTGATAGTTCATTGTTAGACCAAAAATACAGATTGTTGATATACATATATTGCCCTTGGTATCTTTGTCTTCCATCCCTATGCTACTCTTCAAACTGGTTTGAGCCATGTGTATATTCATATTATTACTCTCTGACTCCTAATGTTGCCCAGGCCATGTAGAGATGACTTTGAAGACAAGGGAAGGCAAATATTCATATCTATTATATGGCTTAAGATAAAACACACCAGATCACCAAGCACGGCTTATAATATTATGTCCGTCCTCTTCTCACCTATCACGGCTTATGTAATTTGTTTGATGAGCTGCAGTTCTGAAGCATGTTATTTCCTGACAGCTTATGCATTTATGCTGCTTCTTACATGAATACAGTTTCTGAGAGCGATAAAATGACTTTTATGATCTCTCTGATCATGATTTCATTTGATAATTCGCTTAACAGTATCACTTGATACCTGACAAACCTGCATGTGTGTGGTGCTCTGTTCAGTGTGTCCTGATTCCGTGTCCTTCCTCGGCCCCTCCGTCGCGGCATATGGCTGTATGAACAGGAGGGCGGCCGGCCGTGGACGACGGCGACTTATCCTGGCTATCCACGACCGGTGACCTGTCCTATTGATGGCCTTGCTGGCGCCAGCAGCGCAGGTATAGCCCCTCTCTCATTTCCCGCCAACATTGTACGAATTTGTTTCCACTGTTTTGGAGTACTGCATTTTTCTCACACTCGAATAACCTAACTCTGCTTTTTCTTATAGGTATGTTAGTGTTCTCGGGGCCTCCTACCTGCACCTCACTGCCACCATTGTTGATGTCTATCAGTAACAACTTGAGGCACTCTACGACTACCGCAGGATCAGGCACAAGCGATGGACATATGTTCAAGTGTCTCCTGAAGTTACAGCTTTTTTTTCCCTGCTCAAAACTCTGATGTTTTTCGCAATAATAGTTATTATGATAATAATAAACTAGGGGTAAGTATTTGGGCCTGTATTTACATGGGTATTTCAGTTTCATTTTAGGGTTCACACTTACCCATGTTGATGAGTTCATTGATGAGTTCCTGACCAAGGATTACTCCTGTGATACAGTCCTGCCTCACATTCACAAAAGCTTTGTTTAAGGTTCAGTGACTCAACCCCATGCTCTTCAAAATTATTTTGATTCTGGCATTTTACATTGGCTTAATGGCATACTCAAAGCTCAGTGGGTCAACGGCATGCTCTTGAAAATTATTTGGCTTTTGGCATTTTACATTGCCATTCTCATATTTAAAAAAACTGAAAAAACGATTTTGTTTCATGCATGGCATTTTCTGGATTGTTTGAACAGATGGGTTCTTCAAGCATCTGGAACTCTGTAACCGAGAAGAAGTGCATTTCAGGGTGATTTTGAGGAAGAGGAGGAACAAAGGGAGGATGCCACAGCCTGACACTTTATTCCGAGTATATGACCAGCAGGTTTGGTGCTCTTGCAGTCTTGAATAGTCATTCGGTGCTTTGTTAGGTGTAGGTTGCAAAGCCCATAGGCCAAAGATTTATTCAGAGTACATCATGAGCAGGTTTGATGCTCCTGCAGTCTTGCATACCCAATAGATGTCTTACCATGTTGTGCATCAAGCTAAGATCATTTAAGTCATCTCGACAAGATACCCTTTCTATGAGGCGAAACAGTGGGTTTTGTCAGAAATTATCCAATTTCCAAACTTTCTTCCATATATACTGAAAACAGCCATGCAACTTAAGGTTTTATGATCTTTTTGTAGTTTCATTGACAACTATATATGATGGCGATGATAATTGTCACGCCCGCGGCAACGCGCGGGTTACCGGCTAGTTACTATGTATCCTCGGGTGGGCATGGGAACAGTACTGATCCGATAACCGACAGCAAAGTCAGTAATCTATGGCCTGTTTCGTTCGTGCCGCAGTTTGCCACGCCCAACCTTTGACAAACTGTCTGCTAAAAAAGTTTGGCGAATAAAATTAAAGCCACACTTGTGGCAAAGCTTGGTAAGAAAATTAGTTCACGCCGTGTAGGACATGGTGCTAAAAAGTGCAGCACGTTGTTATGGCAACGAACTAAACAGCTGTCAAAAAAAATTATGGCATGGCTAACTTGTGGCATGATAAGTTGTAGTCACAAAACAAACATGTCCTATATCTAGAGCCTGTTTGGTCCGCTTCCAAAATATGCGTAACCAAAGGTTCACGTGAATACATATCCTAATTTCTTCTTTGAGTCCTAATCTCATCTGATAGGACCGGATTCATGCTCAAAATCGCATACATTAGGCATCCACATATAATCGATATCTATATCTATTTCTATATATCTATATATATTCTATGTCTATGTCTATGTCTATAGCTAACATTAAAGAGCTAATTTTCCTCTCTTATTATGTTTTTTTAATCAGTTTGGCAGCATTTTCTTCCGCGTATTTTTTAACTAAGAAAATGGGTAACGTTAATGTTGATCTCTGATCGCATGTAAAACGAGCAAACATGCAAGCAATAAGAAAAAAATGTACACCTGCTGATAAAAATGTGAATAACAAGCTGGTATAAGTACCAAGCACAGTGTTGCGCTGCTGATAACCATAATTTAGAAAAACCAGCTCATCATCCATCCACATGAGCGACCACACACAATCAGTATCAAGCTAGCCACCTAGGTATTGATAGATCATGGGATCGGATAAGCAGCACTACTTCAACAATACTTTTCAGCGAATAAATCAGTATAAGCAGCAGACATAAGCTAAATTTCACCGAAACGAACAGACCATATATACTGATAAACTTAATAGGCTGCCGGGTGTGACGCATGACAGTTTGCACTCACGGACCTACGGAACACTGTACTAGCTATATAAAGATGGAGATGGAGATCGAGTTGGGAATTGCTGGAGTGGAAGCACAGCCAGTCGTACACGATGGCACACCTGCAAATACGCTAAATGCAACAAGATCGCATCTCTCCCAACCTCACAGAAAGTCCTAACGACATACTAGTATACACGAATGGGAGCATAGATAGTTATCTCATGCATATCTGACCATATCATGTGGATGACAGAGAACGATGATGCGGCCGGAGGGCTAGGCGGTTTCGTCGGCTACTTTCACGGGTCGATTGCTGCTGCTGTAGCCTCTTGTGTCTCGTGAACCCTCTTTGTCCTGGGACAGTTAGGCGCTCGTCGTCGTGTAGGGGAGAGGAGAGAGGCAAGACGACGCTCGTGGCGCATCAACATGCGTTCAGGGCCACACACCGCCCGCGTAAACAGAAATAGTTTACTTCACGCGCGCCTCGGGAAAAAAATCAGTGCACTCTAGCTGCAGCGCACTCCCTTGATCAGGGCCGGCGAATTTGGAGTACATTACCCCTTTCTTCCTCTGGCACTCCCTCTGCTCCTTCACTTCCACCACAATGGCAACCACTACTACTGCTACTGTCACGGAAGAACCGAACAATGCCGACGACCCATCGCCTCCATCTCCGACGTCTCCACCGCCCAAGAAGGTCACGTACGAGCTCGCCGCCCGGAACATCTACTATGCGAAGCCGGCCGCCGCGCCGAGGTCGCTCGTCGCGCAGCTTCTGAAGCCGTGCGGCGCGGCGGCGGCGCCGCCGGACTACATCCTCCGAGACGTGTCCCTCACGGCTCGCGCCGGGGAGATCCTGGCCGTCGTGGGGCCGAGCGGCGCCGGCAAGTCCACGCTGCTCGACATCCTCGCCACGCGCACGGCGCCGACGCACGGGCGGCTGCTGCTCAACGCCGCGCCGCTGCGGTCGACGTCGTCGTTCCGCAGGCTGTCGGCGCACGTGCCCCAGGCGGACGTCGCGCTCGACCTGCTCACCGTCTCCGAGACCTTCGCGTTCGCGGCGTCGCTGCTGCGCCCGGAGTCGCGGGCCGCCGCCTCGGCCGCGGTCGCCGCGCTCCTCGCCGACCTCAGGCTCACCCACGTCGCGCACACGCGGGTCTCCCCCGCGCGGCTGTCCGGCGGCGAGCGGCGGCGCGTGTCCATCGGCCTCGTCCTCCTGCGCGACCCCGCGGTGCTCCTCCTCGACGAGCCGACGTCCGGCCTAGACTCCTCCTCGGCGCATGTGGTCGTCAGTTGCCTCCGCGCCGTCGCGGCCGCGCGTGGCACGACGGTGGTGCTTTCCATCCACCAGCCAAGCGCGCGCCTCCTCTCCGCTGTGGACTGCCTGCTCCTCCTCTCCCGTGGCACCGTCCTCCACCACGGTTCCCTCGCGTCCCTCGACGCTGCCCTCCTCTCCCACGGCCTGGTCGTCCCCGCGCAGCTCAACCCACTCGAGTTCGCCCTTGAGGTCCTCGATCAGCTCCCTCATCCCACCCCCTCTACCCGTGAACCCAAGCAACCGACGACGCATGAACTCAACTCACCGTCGTCGAGCCACCACAAGATGGCCACGGCGACGTCGTCGTCTACCGGTTCGCCGTCGTCGAGGCTGCACGAGCTGGTGGTACTGTACAAGAGGGCGTGGAAGGTGGTGTACCGGAGCAAGCAGCTGCTTCTCACCAACTTCCTAGAGGCCGTGCTCGTGGGCACGCTGCTGGGCACGATCTACATCCACGCTGGCTACGGCGAGGCCGGCGCGCACAAGCGGCTGGGCCTCTTCGCCTTCACGCTCACTTTCCTGCTGACTTCCACCACCGAGACGCTGCCGACGTTCGTGACGGAGCGGCCCATCGTTCTGGCGGAGACGGCGGCGGGACTGTACCGGCTGTCGTCGCACGTGGCGGCGGCCACGCTGGTGTTCCTGCCATACCTCCTCGCGGTGGCGCTGCTCTACTCCGTGTGCGTCTACTTCCTCGTGGGGCTCTGCTCGTCGGCGGGCGCCTTCGCGGCGTTCGTCCTGGTGGTGTGGGCGGTGGTGCTGACGGCCAACTCGTTCGTGCTGTTCGTGAGCTCGTTCGCGCCGGACTACATCGCCGGCATGTCCCTGGTATCCGTGTCGCTGGCCGGTTTCTTTCTCTTCTCCGGCTACTTCCTGTCGCGGGGGAGCATGCCGTCGTACTGGGTGTTCATGCACTACGCGTCGCCCTACAAGTACGCGCTGGACGCGCTGCTGGCGAACGAGTACACGTGCGCGGCGAACCGGTGCTTCGGTGTGGGCGGCGGCGGCGGCGCCGACGGCAGCGAGTGCTCGGAGACGGGGCGCGACGTGTTGGTGGAGAAGGGGCTCACGGCGGAGGAGCGGTGGACCGGCGTGCAGGTTCTGTTCGGCTTCTTCCTTCTCTACCGGGTGCTTTACTGGGTGGTGCTCAGCCGGCGAGCGTCCAGGGCTAAGAGATGAGAAGATGAGGTGAGCGGCCGCCGGCCGGCAAACATCGGTTCTGGTTGCCTGACTGTACGTGCGTGTGAACACGTGCATGTACGTATGCAAACAAGCTTAGCCAGCAGAGAGGTATGTCAAATTGCCAACTTGGAGAAGACGATGAAGAGGTGATATTAACTGGTATGTAGTAATTACGCTGTCATATACTGATGTAAATTGTGAAGATAAAACTCCTTTATAAGTGTGTGATGATATGATCGATGGACGATGGCTGGATATATATAAGTTTTGTCTTTCTTGATAATTGACTCGGGTCTGATGAGTCGTATATATACGACTGTACGAATATTTTATCAATGAAATGATGATGGTTGGATCGGAGTCGTTAAAGATAAGTTTTAACTTTATGTTAATTTTATCTGATCTTTGTTGCTTGTATTTTGAATCTGTTTGGGTGCATGTTCATCTGCCTATTATACTAAGAAAATGGGTAAAGTTAATGCTCATATATCTGATTGCATGTAAAACCGAGCAAGCATGCAAGCAATATAAGAAAAGAAAAAAAATGTACACCTTCTGATCAAAATGTGAATAGCAGATATACCATTTTTAGCTGGCAAGCAACTCCAACAGAAAAACTATCTATGTCCATGTTGTGTAATCTATATTTGACTATTTTGAAGAGAAAAAAGAGTCCAACAGCTATTGTATTCTGAAATTCTCGCATGCTAGATATAACTTGCATGTGCCGCTAGCCATTCGTCTCATCTTATTGGAAATGCTGTTGGAGTTTTCTATTTTTTTTTTGGGTTTCTATTTTAGAGGTTGATTAAATCATGAGTTTAGCCGTCTATTTTTATCAACTCTGCTTGGAGTTGCTCTAAGTACCAAGCACAATGCTGCACCGCTGATAATTAACCATAGTAATTTGGAAAACCCAGCTCATCATCTGTCATTCCATCCACACGAGGGATCACACAGAATCAGTATCTGATCAATGGAGAGAGCAAGCTAGGTTTTGATGGACCATGCATGGATCGGATAATATACTGATAGACTCACTATGCCGTCGAGTGTGACACATGACAGTTTGTACTACCTATGAAACACTGTACTAGCTATATAAAGATGGAGATGATGAAGAGTTGGGACTTGCTGCGAGATTGAAGCACAGCCAGTCGTACACGATGGCACACCTGCAAATATTCTAAAAAGCAACAAGTTCGCATCTCTCCCAACCTCATAAAAAGTCCTAGCTAGTATATACACGAATCGGAGCATAGATAGTTATCTCACGCATATCTGACCATATCGTGTCAATGAGAGAGGACATTGATGCGGAGCTGGCTAGGCGGTTTCGTCGGTTACTTTCACGGGTTCTTGGTTGCTGCTACTGTAGCCTCTTGTCACATGTGGATGTAGATGTCACACGTTCAGAGCCACACACCCCACCGCGTAAATCAAATAGTTTCACTTCATGCGCGTCCCGGGAGAAAATTCACGAAAAAAATTCAGTGCAGTCGGCTGCAGTGGCCCAGAGATCGGTAGCGCGGGCCGAGCTCCGTTAATGGCGGCGGCGGCGGTGAGTTGGTGGCGATGCAGCGGGAGAGAGGGGCGGAGAGGCGGCAGCGTGCGCGCGCGGAGCTCTGGGCGCCTTTTATAGGACGGAGGAGAAGGAGAGGTGCCGGCCGTAGAGCTCGTCTTCGCGCTAATGGCGGCCGGTGTTTTCGCTCGCGATTGATGGGACGAGCAGAGGAGGAAGAGGCAGTACGATTGCGCGGTGATCGCGGGGTGGGATCGGATGAGAGTCGAGGCGGTAGGTGGTCGGAATCCCGTCTGGATTCGTGAGCAGCAGCCAGCAGAGCAGGAAGGGAGAAGGAGATCGGAGCCGGCGGGGGGTGGAAGATGACGGGCGGGCCCCCCTTGTCGGTGGCGGGAGAGGGGAGCGAGCTGACTGGTGGGGCCCGCGTGTCGGTGCTGGGCTCCTGAGCTGGGCTGAAGCCCACGGGGGAAAGGGAGTGGCCTTGGTCCAAGGGAGAGGGACGGAGGTCGGCATGGGGAGCTTTCGGCCCAGGTGGAGAGGATGGCTGGGATGAAAGGGAAGAGGAAGAATAAAGAGTTAAATGCACCTAGATCCATCAATTTTTGGTGGTGTGTCATCTAGGTTTATCAACTTTTAAACTATATTTTTAGGTCCATTAACTTTTGTGGTGTGTTATCCAGGTCCATCAACTTTCAAACTGAATTTTTTGGTCTATTAACTTTTGGTGGTGTGTCATTCAGGTCCAACTTTCAAATTACATTTTTGGGTCCCTAAACTTTTTAACTGATTCACCGTAGGTCCATACCCCTTCATTTAGCGAATAGATCGGACATGACAAGCCAAATAAGCAACCACCATGGAGTAGGTGTTGAGTCCATAGCTCCTCAAGATGTTCATGGAGACTTGTCTAGCAATAATTCAAATATAGCAGCTGGTAATTCGTTAATATTCTCTGGTCTTAAATTTGTGACTATTATTTTTAAGAATAAATATATTGTGAACATGGAGAAATTTATAACCGTTAGCAAAGATATTTTATAGAAGTACCTTATTATTGCGTGGAAAGGAGAAAATGAAGTCAACAAAATACATCAGTACTAATTCTAAAGAGGTGGAGATCATTAATGGAATTTCCCCAACATGATTAGCATCCTTGCCGTAGTATTTTATTATTTCCATACATTAGTTTCCTATCCAGTTGTGACACACGATCTTTTATCTAGCATCTAGCATTTAGTGCCTACGTGAGTCAAATTGGTGGCTGCGTTTGGACGTGCCGTGCATGTTAGCCGAATCAGGGACTCAGGGTCAATCGGTCCTAGTTGAGCTGGTGGAGTCCAAGTTTTGTTTGGGTCAGGTGGCCTGCGTGCCTATACCTGTGGCCTGTGGCCTTGTACCGGATAGATTAGACTAGATTTTATTGTGGAGTTTACTCCCCGTCGAGCCGCCGCTTGAGAAACCCTAGATGGTGATCCCATCAGGTTCTTCGTTTTGAAGATCATCTCCAGATGGTGATCTCGTCCTGTACTCCACGGTGGCTGTTTTTTTGGCGTGCCATGTCAGATCTATTCGGTAAACAAAGGGGTATGGACCTACAATGACCCAGTTGAAAAGTTTAGGGACCTAAAAATAAAATGCAATTTCAAAGTTGATGGACCTAGATGACACACCACCAAAAGTTAATAGACCCAAAAATATAGTTTGAAAGTTGATGGACCTGGATGACACATCACCAAAAGTTAATGGACCCAAAAATACAGTTTGAAAGTTGATGGATCTAGAGGACACACGATCAAAAGTTAATGGACCTACCGTACATTTAACTCAAGAATAAATGAATTTGGTCTGGGATTTTTGAGATAGTTTTGGCCCTCAACTTGATTTAAAATTTTGTAACTAATTTCCAAACCTATTTTAAAATAGATTTCAACAATTTATAATTTCAAACTTTTCCAAACATACTTTAGAAACTCTTTTCAGACCTCATTTTGTATAGTATTTAACATATCTTTGGAGAAGTTATTTTGAGATTGTTTTAAAGCTCTTTTAAAATCTTTTTAAACCTTTGTTTTTGAATGACCACTTTAAATATTTTGAAGCCAGATTTTTCAACCAAAATAAAGTATTTTGAGACCCTTTTTCAAACATTGTTTGTAACATATTGAAAATACATTTTCAAAACTCGAATTCGAACCATTTTGAAAGCTAGATTTTAAAGCAAACTTTCAAACTTTACCTTTAGAAAATAGATAAAATCTATTCGTGGCTTAGTCAAATTTTGTTATTCGAGTTTCACTCAATAAATAAATGTAATCAGCATGAATGCAGCATCCCTAGGGAAAAAATAATTAGGAAACATTTGTTAAGTCATTTATTTTTACCAAATTGATAATAAAGGAACTAAAGGTAGGAAAGTTTCATTAAAAAATTAAATGATTTGTTTTATTTAGTGTTTTCTATTCACTTCCCAAAATATAAATTTTGGATTGTGACACCTCTCTTGCAGGTTAGGTGTGATGTGAGGTACGCACATAAGTTATCATGATCATCGTTGATCACCCGGGCTTTATGACAGACAAGCATCACTACTAACGTGACATCTTCAAAATATTAAGCCTAAGTAAGGTATTACAAAATTAATTGTGCCTGATTATACTTTTAACACATTTCAGCATCTTCCTAAGTTTTTTTTAAAAAAAAAATCATGCATGTCATTTCCGGTTCATATGCTAGCATACAAGGAAATTTGTATTACGGTAATAGTTCCCAAAACTCTCAGCAGTGTTTTCTTAAAGCTTAAAGTGTTCTATATTTGCTTATCACCAATTTGAATGCACGTGCACACCTCTTGGCTTCCGGTTCTTTAGAAAAGGAAAGGAGCAATTCCATTCATTATGGGCTGATGAAACACTGGAAATTTTGGGCCTATCTATTTTGCTTCTTTTCCTTCCCATGCTAAAATCATTTTTTTTCAATTACATAGTACAACTCAGATACTCACAATGCACGCACACTCACCCTATGAACGCAGCACACAAACCCTACCCCTATGAGCATCTTCGAAAGACTACCGACAAATCATCGAGATTGACGAAGTCGTCACATGCATCTCGCTGTTGACGATAACATCACCTACCACTAAAAGCACAACAACGTTAAATTCTATAATATTCGCTCCCACGAGGAGTCAAACGCAGGATCTAAAATGCTACTAAGGTGCTTGTAACCACTAGTTTTAGACACCATAGCAAGCAAGTAACAGCCCCAGGGTACCTCAGGTGAGCAAACAAGAAAGAGGAAGCTAAAAAATTGACGCGTGGTCTGAATTTGCCCACAATATATGAACAGCCGTAAGCACGCACGCAGGAGGCTGAAGATGAAAGTACATCATGTTGTACTAGGCCGAGTGAGTTTAAATGGGAAAAATAATTTTAGCATGGGAAGAAAAAGAAGCATTAATAGATAGGCCCAAAAT